AAGAAAACTGAAAATATTGTTATATGAAAAGCTTTGTGGAGTAACAGTATGTACTGACCCAGTAAAACCCGGAGATGGCAAAACTACCGGCTGTACCAGGACCCGCACACTTGGGTGGCCCACTGGATGTCCTCAAATAAACAAAAATAAGTCCTGCGGCAGCCCCAATATATACAATAAAAACTAAAGACAAAAAGGAGTTACCTGCGCACTATCCCAAATCCCTGTGCACATTTACATAAATGGAGGTTATTTAGTAACACATGGACCTGTTTTTATGTATTTATATTTACTTTGTATCACACAGCCTTGTTACAATGCTGCCACCCATCCCATGTGTTCCCTATTAAGGGTTAATAAGTATATAGGGGTGTATATAAAAAATACCCCTACCGGTCTCATTAGCGATATCTTTGCCAGAAGCTAAAGGAAGCAAGGTGAATGGTTAGAGTTAGGACCCACCTAAGAGGTTTGCCTTGACGTGGCAGGTGGGCATTCTCTCTAATGACCATTGGAGTAACTAAATAACCTCCATTTATTTAAATATACATTGGGATTTTTCTTTGTTTTGAAGGAGGGATTTGGAGGAAGAGAAAATAGTACGGGATTCCAAGGCTTCTCCTCTACAGATCTGATGATCTGATTGTTATCAGCGAAACGCGTCATTAAGAGTGACGTCCTTATGTTACAGGCGTTGGGCGTCATTGCCCCGCCTCTCCCGGAAGTGTTCCTGCAGCTCGGACCGCACTATCAAGCCTTGTGGATTCCGGCAACCAAAACAAAGAACACTGGGGTCCGATAGTAAGCAGAGACTGTGGAGTTGACTTTTAACTATGATTCAGCATGTTTATAATTGCTCCTGCGTGTACACAATAAAGATTATTCCGAGATTCCGGCTGCTCCTTATATTCGTTCTTTGGGTCTGCCAATTTACTCACACCACAGTGGAGGTGGAGATAAGCGCTTTCACTCTGAGCATACTTACCTGCTCCTGGCTTTGTGAGTGGCATTAATATATCATATTATATGTAACAGTACTACGCTATATGTTTCTATTCTTTTCTCTTTTCTGGACATACCCACTGCGCGTGTGTGTTACTATCGGATGCCCTGTGTAAGTAAGGTGGGATTTTTTGCACTTTTTATAAACACATTGTACAGAGTAACACTATTGCACAGCATGTTTGGCACTTTATGAAATACATTTATAGCATTTTATATATGAGTGAACTATTCAATATTTTAAGATTTAAAGGTACAGCGCATGTTATATGTGGTGTCTATTTAGAGCTAATACACTTGTAAGATGCAACTTTTAAAATGATTTATTCTTGTAAGATAATTTTTAGCGCCATCTATTTTTTTTTATTTTTTATAATTCTTTATTTTTGGAGCAAAAAGACTTTACAAGCATGCCTGTGTAGCCACAACAGCTGACACAGGCAGGTTAATGCAGACACGTCCATGGCATGATACATGTGCACATTTATGTTAAATAGGAAAATAACAGGTTAGTATACATTGCTTTTTTGAAATAGCGTGCTAAAGTAGTCAAGCATAGTAATAGGTAAATGTGTGATTGGTATTCCGTTTTGTCAGTTTGGTATGATGCTAACATGCTCTGGACCTGAGCTAACCTCCTTAATTTAACTAATGAGCTATACATTCAATGTATTTAACTAGTTATTCAAGAATATAGTTATGGGCTAACAAAGACGTGTAACAAAATAAGGAGAGTAGGTGTCGTTAAATAATGTACTTGGCCAATCAAAGCATATATATAGAAAAATAACAAAAAAGAAAAACTGTTTCTTTCTTATGCGAGCAAGTCACTAATAGGTGAGTTATGCGCAGCTTTGTGATAAATACCATATTGAGTGATGCATTTATATGTAAAATTACGTTAGGAATGTTTTCCAACTTGGGTGATTTTAATTGGTGGTGCGACCGCACAAGCTGCGAATTTAACTGGCCTTACATAGCGGTTGTCTAATTTGCCAGTCCAATTGTTAAAGGACCACTCTAGGCACCCAGACCTTTTCAGCTTAATGAAGTGTTCTGGGTGCCAGGTCCAGCTAGGGTTAACCCATTTTTTCATAAACATAGCAGTTTCAGAGAAACTGAATGGGTTAAGCCTTCCCCCTAATCCTCTAGTGGCTGTCTCATTGATAGCCACTAGAGGCGCTTGCGTGCTTCTCACTGTGATTTTCACAGTGAGAGCACGCCAGTGTCCATAGGAAAGCATTATGAATGCTTTCCTATGTGACCGTCTGAATGCGCGCGCAGCTTTTGCCGTGCGTGCGCATTCAGCCGGCGGGGCGGATCGGAGGCGGAGAGGAGGAGGAGAGCTCTCCGCCCAGCGCTGGAAAAAGGTAAGTTTTTACCCCTTTCCCCCTTCCAGAGCTGGGCGGGAGGGGGTCCCTGAGGGTGGGGGCACCTTCAGGGCACTATAGTGCCAGGAAAACGAGTATGTTTTCCTGGCACTATAGTGGTCCTTTAAGGGCACAACTTTATTAAAAAGGAAGGAGAAAAGGAAAGAAAAAAGATAAACTTATTAATACCAGTGTAATCGTAAAGTAGCCCTCTTGTCTATATGTCTATTATATGCTGAGCTGACCATAGTGACGTTTCTTTAGTCAGTGCTCTAGATGTCTAATTAGGTTGCTCCATGGGCAGGGTCAGTTGATAAGCACTAGACAATAAACACTGACCTACTTTTGAGATCGATCTTTGGACTGTGGAACAATGGCTGTCATTTAACCCCTTAAGGACGGAGCCAAATGTACACGTGAACGAAACAAAATGTAAACAAAACCTGGCATTTGCGCTACATGTCTGTCCAACCGTAATTCACCTCTTTCATATTAAATACACCCACCCTTATTATATATCATTTTATTCAGGGGAAACAGGGCTTTCATTTAATATCAAATATTTAGCTATGAAACATAATTTAATATGAAAAAAATGGGAGAAAATAAGATATTCTTTAGTTTTTTAGTTCTACATGACATTTTAACTGTCAATGTCATAATACTGTTTACTTTTACTGCAATAAAATACACATATTTGTATTCAGCAAAGTCTCACGTGTAAGACAGTACCCCCTATGTACAGGTTTTATGGCATTTTGGGAAGTTACAGGGTCAAATATAGCACGTTACATTTGAAATTGAAATTCGCCAGATTGGTTACGTTGCCTTTGGGACTTTATAGTAGCCCAGGAAAGAAATTTACACCCATAATGCATACCATTTGCAATAGTAGACAACCCAAGGTATTGCAGATGGGGTATGTCCAGTCTTTTTTAGTAGCCATTTGGTCACAAACACTGGCCAAAGTTAGTGTTAGTATTTGTTTGTGTGTGAAAAATGCAAAAAATGCCAATTTTGGCCAGTGTTTGTGAATAAGTGGCTACTAAAAAAGAATGGACATACCCCGTTTGCAATACCTTGGGTTGTCTACTATTGCAAATGGTATGCCATCATAGGGGTCATTTTCATTCTTGGGCTACCATAGGGTCTCAAAAGCAACGTAACCAATCTGGAGAATTTTAATGTGAAAAAAATGAAACACAAGCCTTATATTTGATGCTTTAACTTTTGAAAACACCATAAAACCTGTACATGAGGGGTACTGTTGTACTCGGGAGACTTCACTGAACACAAATATTTGTGTTTCAAAACAGTAAAAAGTATCGCAGCAATAATATTGTCCGTGTAAGTGCTGTTTGTGCGTGAAAAATGCAAAAAAGGTCAATTTTACTGGCGATATCATCGTTGTAATACATTTTACTGTTTTGAAACACTAATATTTGTGTTCAGCGAAGTCTCCCGAGTAGAACAGTACCCCCCATGTACAGGTTTTATGGTGTCTCGGAAAGTTATAGGGTTAAATATAGTGCTAGCAAATTAAATTCCTTTTACTTTCGGCATGGGTTGTCAGGCAGGTCCTGCTAATTGTAATTAATTAAGATACCTAATTATGTAAAAATATTACATAAATATATATGTAGAATTAATATATGTATATATATATATATATAGGTATGTGAATATATATGTATATATATATATATATATAATTTTTGAAAAATATTTTTATTTATATATATGTATATATATATAGAGATATATACGTATATCAGTGGCGCATTACGTCAGGGTCGCAGGTTCGCTGCGACTGCCCGCCCACCAGGGGGCCCGGCCGCCCCGCTAATCTCGGGGTATGTTCATTAGGCCAGCCTCTCCCCTGGGGGGCCCAGGAGCCTCACCCCAGGGCCCCCCAGGCCCTGTCAGGAAGGCGGAGAATGGTCGGCCAGGAAGTATCAGTGTTTCTTTTCTTCAGCTCCTCAAGACCGATAAATGAGCCGAAGATGACGTCATCTTCCGGCGCCGGCATCCCTACGCGGCGCGCGAGGGAGCTGAAGAGGAAGCACTGAGTGCTCCCTCGCGCGCCCGCCTGTCTGCCAGACCAGCCACCCGCCCAGGAGCCTAGCAGCACCACTGGACCCCAGGGAATCCCCCCAGCACTCCGAAAGGTAAGGAGGCTGGGGGGATTACATTTAAAAAAAACAAACAACTAGTGTTAGTTTTGAGTGTGTGTGAGTGTTAGAGTGAGAGTTTGTGTGTCTGCTAGTTAGTGTTAGTGTGAGTGTTAGTGTGTGAGTGTTAGAGTGAGTGTTAGTGTGTGTGTCTGCTAGTGAGTGTTAGTGTGTGAGTGTTAGTGTGTGTGTCTGCTAGTGAGTGTTAGTGTTAGTGTGTGTGAGTGTTAGTGTGTGAGTGTTAGAGTGAGTGTTAGTGTGTGTGTCTGCTAGTGAGTTTTAGTGTTAGTGTGTGTGAGTGTTAGTGTGTGTGAGTGTTAGAGTGAGTGTTAGTGTGTGTGTCTGCTAGTGAGTGTTAGTGTGAGTGTTAGAGTGAGTGTTAGTGTGTGTGTGTGTCTGCTAGTGAGTGTTAGTGTGAGTGTTAGAGTGAGTGTGAGTGTTAGTGTGTGTGTCTGCTAGTGAGTGTCAGTGAGTTTGTTACTGTGTGTGTCTTACTGAGTGTGTGTGTTAGTGAGTCTGTTTGATGTCTGTTAGTGAGTGTGTGTTTGTCAATGAGAGTGTACGTTTTGTAAGTGAGTGTGTATGTATGTCTGTCGCTGACTGTGTCTCTGTCAGTAAATGTGTGTGTCTGTTAGCTAGTGTGTATGCGTCTGTAAGTGTGTGTGTGTGTGTCTTCAGTACTTACCTTTCTCCAGCGCCGGACTCCCTTGGCGCTGGGGATCCCTCAGCCTCTCAGCTCCGAATGCGACCGCGCACGCATTCAAACCGCCCATAGGAAAGTATTACTCAATGCTTTCCTATGGACGTTCAGTGGGCTCCTCTAGCGGCTGTCAGTGAGACAGCCACTAGAGGCTGGATTAACCCTCAGTGAAACATAGCAGTTTCTCTGAAACCGCTATGTTTTCAGCTGCAGGGTTAAAACTAGAGGGACCTGACACCCAGACAACTTCATTGAGCTGATGTGATCTGGGTGTCTGTAGTGGTCCTTTAGCGACTATTTGATATGCTGTAAACATACTGCTTTCCTGGCATTATAGCGCCCTGAGTGGGTGCCCCACCCTCAGGGGACCCTCCTCCCCCGCCTGGTGCGTAGTACCTTTACCTTTTTTCCAGCCGGGCGAGAGCCTCCTGACCTCCTTCTTCTTCGTTTGCTGTATATGACGCTGCTGCAAAGAGCTGCGCGCGCATTCAGCCAGTCATATAGGAAAGCATTTATAATGCTTTCCTATCGACGCTGGCGTGCTCTCACTGTGAAAATCACAGTGAGAAGCACGCAAGCGCCTCTAGTGACTGTCAATGAGACAGCCACTAGAGGATTAGGGGGAAGGCTTAACCCATTCATAAACATAGCAGTTTCTTTGAAACTGCTATGTTTATGAAAAAATGGGTTAACCCTAGCTAGACCTGGCACCCAGACCACTTCATTAAGCTGAAGTGGTCTGGGTGCCTAGAGTGGTCCTTTAAGTGTGTGTGTGCATCTGCATGCACTGGCGTACATACCGCGGTCGCAGGGGTCGCAGCCCTGTAACCCCTGCGACCAGGTGCCCACCGCCATGTGTTGCGGCCTGGCCCGCGCGGGGGGGAAGGGGGCACGGATCAATTTTCGCACCGGGGCCCAATGGGTCATGTGTACGCCACTGACCTATATATTTATGTATATAGATATATTATTTCGTTCTACATGTATTTTGATATAAATATATATATATATTAATATCACAATACAGTTAGAACGAAATAACACACATCTATATATTTTTTAATTATTTTTTTTAATAATTTTTTTAATTTTATTTTTTTTAACGTATTTATATATTTAATTTTTTTATATTATATATAAATATATATAGCACGGTAATCCAATGTAGCCAGGTGCTGGCAGTGCCAGGATTGGAGTGCCAGGATGCGGAGAGGGAGATGTCAGAGCCCCGCTGCTCTCTATGGGGAATCGGATGAGAGCGGACCGCCTGTCCGCTCTCATCCGATCCCATCCGATCTGATCCCCACCCAGGACGGATGGAAAATAGGGTTTCCATCCGTCCGGATTTCACGGACAGGATCGGATGCGGATGGCAGCGGGTGTCAGCAAATATGTCACCGCTGACGCTGACATCCGCTGCTCCATAGGGCTGAATAGGGCATCCTGACAGGCGGATCTGATCGGAACGCCCGTGTGCAAGAGGCGAGCCCTTACTTTTATTCGATGAATAATAAGTACTGAATAATAAACTTTCCAAACTACTGTATAATAAAAATCATAGTAATAGTCAGAAAAAATCACAATGGTTTGTAAAGTGTTATTGCTATTTTGAATTTATTTATTTTTTTCATCTTAAATTGTCTCACAATATTATATGAATGAATGCGTGGTGGTGGGGACAAGGTGCCTTCCAAGGGGGAGGCTGCGCAGAGAGCATGGGGTGGCAGCATACCCCCTCCTTCTGAATCATACCCAGGCCACATCCCTTTTAACACTGCGAGGGTACCTTTCAAAATGAAGCCCCCCCCTCTTTGTAAGGCAACTTGTTCCCAGGTTGAGGAGACAAAGATTTAATTTCTACATCTTGCTCCCAGAACGGATCATGTGACTCACGGGCATGTGCAGGGGGCCTATTAGAGTGGAAGCCCCTTTATAGTAATAGGCATTGCACAGGTGATGGTACAGGCATGGCACAGGTGATGGAATAGGCATGGCACAGATGGTATAGGCATGGCACAGATGGTATAGGCATGAGGAGGAGGAGGACTGACAGGAGGACTCACTTACAGGGCTGCTGCTGCTGCACAGGGCTGGACTCACTCGTCTCTCTTCCGAGACCCGACCGTGACCGACTGGTTCCAGATGACCTCCTCACTTCACGCTGCCCCTGTGGCCTGGTCTGGATCCGGATGCGGTCTCTCTGCAGTGCCGACTCCCGCTGAGTCCTGGTCTCCATCCGTCTCCTCCTGCATCGGTTCCTTTTGGTGACTCGAGTCGCGACGTCTTCTTCTCTCCGCTGCTGCGCACACTGTGCTCGGGCGGGAAGGAAGTCGGAAGATGATGTCCTACTGTGATAGGTCCAGGCTGGAGTCTTGACCAATCACAGCCCGGACATCAGAAAAGTGGAGGTGTCCCCCTGAGGAGCGCCAATCGGCACCCCTGCTGGCCGAGGGTGGGGTCAACCCCCCCCCCCCCCATACCCAGGACACAGTCCAGCGCCCGCCTAGTGGGCGAAAATTTGACTTTTTTTTTTTAAATCTTTCGAATTTATCAATTTTTCCCACGGCACACCAGGCAACATCTAGTGTGCCGCGGAACAGTGGTTGAAAAACACTGGATTAGATTACTAATAAACAGATAATAGCTTGAAATTGCGGGTGGACAGACCCGATCATGTAAGTCCAAGCGACAAAGTTCCCTGGGGTCCCCCAGGTATGAGTCTCGCTCCAAGGGCTTGCAGAACCCATGAAAAATAGTCGGTAGAAAATAAAAAGGTGAAGAGGGAAAGAAAGAGAAAAAAAAAGAGATGTAAATGTCGTGAGTTCTTAGGATTACATGTTACCCCTGTCATGCACGGTAATCCAATGTAGCCAGGTGCTGGCAGTGCCAGGATTGGAGAACGGACGCCTCTGCTCTGCTTAGGTGGTGACCGCAGCATAGGTGACTGGTGTAGGATTTCGAGGCACAAATGGTGCGCTGTTCGCCGGGTCCCAGCTGGTATTCGGTGTGAAGGGGGCCTAGAGGTCCGTTCAAACCGTTCTGAAACATGCAATGTAGTGGTTATGGTGCTTATAGCATTCCTTTAAGGGTTAAAGCTGCATTTATGCGAACAACAAAATAGCTGATCTAAAAATTACAATTCTTTTCAAACTCTGTTATCACGGTGTGAATTGTGCGACCGATTTGTCTGTCATAGTAACTGTCTGTACACAGAATAGACCCAATATTTGTATTAATTTCTATTTGCATGAACAGCGTTTTGACATTTCCTTTCTCTCTGTTATTTACGGATATATTTAATAAATATCTGTCAGGGACAGCAGGAGAAAGCCCACTTATTTCTTGGCTCAGATTGTTTGATCTTAAACAGAGAGACTGAAGTATTTTGATTTGTTTGAAAAAGTTTTCATTTCTCTGACATAGTTTAATGATTCATTTGTCTCCGCTGGGAAATCACGCGGGGTCAGGATACAGGACGCTGAACATTGAGCCCATCAGGAATAGAGCATTTATCAAGTAGGCTAGAGATGCACTATTAACGATCAGAATTACCACTCCTGCGCTAGCCGGCTTCACATTCACAAACCCCACTGTCTTTAACCACGTCCAAAAGCTAAAGCTGCACCAAATCCATTTATTTTAAGGGGGGGATATGATAGAAACATTTAAATAAATAAAGGGAATCAACACAGTAAAGCAGGAGATCATATATTTAAAAGAAGAAAAACTACCACAACAAGAGGACAAAGGTCTTAAATTAGAGGGACAAAGGTTTAAAAATAATATCAGGAAGTATTACTTTACTGAGAGGGTAATGGATGCATGGAATTTGCTTCCAGCTGAAGTGGTAGAGGTTAACACAGTAAAGGAGTTTAAGCATGCGAGGGATAGGCATATGGCTATCCTAACTATAAGATAAGGCCCAGGAGTAATGAAAGTATTTAGAAAATTGGGCAGACTAGATGGGCCGAATGGTTCTTATCTACCATCGCATTCTATGAGCAGAACAGCAGGTCACACAGGAGATTTGAAAGCCCTCTTGTTATGAAAAAAATAAAATAGAAGAAGAAAGAAAACACATGCACTGAGTGGTTAGGAAACACAAGAATGTTCCCCGATTTACCCTGAGGACAGCGAGTAAACTGTCCGGGTATATGTGACCACAAGCTAAATGTAGGCGGTCTGGAGAAACATAAATGATAGAGAAAAAAAACAACTATATGCGTGAACTGTAAGAGCACCTGCACTTAGTCAGGCGGGTGATGAGGTAAAATACTGCCAAGACCCTCAGCTTGCCCATCCAATGCCCGTCGTGGGCAGGACACAGTCCCCACAGCTTGCCCATCATCCGATGCCTGTCGTTGGCAGGACACAGTCCCCACAGCTTGCCCATCATCCAATGCCCGTCGCGGGCAGGACACAGTCCCCACAGCTTGCCCATCATCCGATGCCTGTCGTGGGCAGGACACAGTCCCCACAGCTTGCCCATCATCCAATGCCCATCACGGGCAGGACACAGTCCCCACAGCTTGCCCAACATCCGATGCCCATTGCGGGCAGGACACAGTCTCCACAGCTTGCCCATCATCCGATGCCCGTCACAGGCAGGACAGAGTCCCCACAGCTTGCCCATCATCCAATGCCCATCACGGGCAGGACACAGTCCCCACAGCTTGCCCATCCGATGCCTGTTGTGCGCATGACACAGTCCCCACAGCTTGCCCATCATCCAATGCCCATCACGGGCAGGACACAGTCCCCACAGCTTGCCCATCATCTGATGCTTGTCGCGGGCAGGACACAGTCCCCACAGCTTGCCCATCATCTGATGCTCGTCGCGGGCAGGACACAGTCCCCAAGGTTTGTGCAAAAACAAATGTGAGATAGGCTAAACTTGATGGACACATGTCTCTTTTCAGGCTCTGTAACTATGTAACCAACAGACCTATAATCTACACCATGT